AACTGGGCAAATATACATATTTATGATAAATTATCCCTGTGAGAATTTGTGATTCAGTTTCCGTAGACCTAAAGAAATTCTTATCCATAAATTTTAACAATCTGCATGTATATATTTTGGCTTCAGACTATATCCCCTGTTATTTATTTTGTGGCACAGATTTCCCTTTCTAACTAGTTCTAAATACTAAAATTTAGTTTTATGTTCTTACAACTAAGAGAAGGTGAACAAGAAGTTTTCTGAGTAGGAAATAAAAATTGAGAAGCCTAGCAGAATCAAAAATGTTGACAAAGAAAATTCACCAAATGGATAATTCACATACAGATGACTAAGACCTGAGTGTAAACATTTTACTTCAGCTGTTAGTGCGTTCCACTGCTTAAATGTTTAATTTTATCCTTTTTCACTCAGAGTGGAAGGACATAAGTGAAAGACCAAGTGTACAAAATAATATAGTTTCTTAACATCTGTTATCACTTTAAACTGGAAAGAAAAAAGGCAAATATTTTACTATCAAGACAAAGATAGCCTAAAAAACAGAAAAGTAAAACAAAGTGAGAAAAATATTAAAGGGGCTGAGGAACATTTTTCTCAGTTCAACGAGCAATCAGATGAACAAAAGACAAAAGGCTGGGGCAGAAAAAGAGATCTTACAATAGTGAATAAAATTATGTCATGTACATCAAATAGAGTTTTCATCATTACACATAATTTTGGAGGTTGACTATGCTTTAAATGAAACCAATATTAACACTTACTTGTTGTGTTGAAACATTTCTAATGCCACTTTTGCATCAACGTCCAGAGTTTCAAATTGAAGATCTTTATAAATTAAAGCATGAGCATCTTTTGTGAAAGAACGTAAATTCTCCTTAAAAATAAAGAATTAACTTTAGTAACAATTTACCTAAAAGCATTTCTCCATAACCCAGATGAGCCTACATGCTTAGTACTATGAATCCAAATGAAAGAAAAAGCAAAAGCAAATTTGTTAGGAGAGAATGTT